ATCTATCTATCTATCTATCTATCTATCTATCTATCTATCTATCTATCTATCTATCTATCTATCTATCTATCATCTATCTATCAATCATCTATCTATCTATCTATCTATCTATCTATCAGATGTTTATCTAACATCTATCTAAAATCTTTCTATCTCTATCTCTCTTTGTGTCACTGTGTCTGTATCTCTCTCTCTTTCTCTCTCTCTCTCCTTCCTTTTGTGTGTATGTGTGTGTCTGTGTCTGTGTGTGTATCTGTGGGCTTCCCTCCTTTTGACTTTTATACTCTGAGATTATTTATTCCTTATGTTTTATTGCATATAGCTAACCACTTTAGGTTTGAGTTTTTCTTCTAGAGTCTTCTGTAGGGCTGGATTTCTAGATCATTATTGCTTAAACTTGTTTTTAACCACAGAATGTCTTATCATTTCTATAGATTGTGATTGAAAGTTTTGCTGGATATAGTAATATGGGGTGACATTTGCAGTCTGTTAAAAATCTGTAGCACATCTGTCTAGGCCCTCTTGACTTTTAGAGTCTACAGTCAGAAAATCGGTGTAATTCTAATATGTCTGCTTCTATCTGTTACTTGATCATTTTCCCTTGTTGTTTTTAACATTCTATCTCACTTCTGTACATTTAGTGCTTTGATTATTATATACCAAGGAGACTTTATATTGTGGTCCTGTCTAGTTGGTATTCTGTATGTTTCCTGTGCCTTCATAGGCATCGTCTTCTTTAGGTTGTCTATGATTTTGTGAGTTATATTTTCTATGCCTTTAACCTGGGTTTCTTCTCCTTACTCTATTTTTATTATTCTCAGATTTTGTCTTTTCATAGTGTTGCAGATATCCCAGATGTTTTGTGTAGGAGCATTTTAGATTTAACCTTTTTTAAAGCTCCACCCATTCCTTTTATTATGTCTTCAGTGCATGAGATTCTCCCTCCCATTCTTTGTACTCTGTTGGTGAAGCTTGACACTGTGGTTCCTGTTCTAGTTTCTAAGTTTTCACTTCCAGATTTCTTTCAGTTTGGATTTTTTTATTGATTCTATTTCCACTTTCAGATCTTGAATGGTTTTATTCATTTACCTCTATTGTTTGTGTTTTCATAAATATTTTTAAGGGATTTATTTGTTTCCCCAATAAAGACCTCTATCATATTCATACAGGTTGCTTTAAGGTCTTTTCTTGTAGTCAGCTATGTTGGAATATTCATGGCCTGTGGCTGTAGGGTTGCTGTGCTCTAGTGGAAATACATTGTCCTGGATGTTACTGATTGTGTTTTCACCTGGCATCTAGGCATCTGGGATTGGGAAGATTATAATTCTACGTCTTGATATCATGACCTATTTTGGGGGTGGGTCTTTTGTCTTTTGGATTGGTTTTGTTTGCTCTGTTGTTCCTAGGAGAATGTGGTGGCTGTGTGTTGCCTATAGAAAAATCTTCTGGGATCTTATAGGTGTAGGCACTGGAGGTTCAAAGTGAAATGTGTTTCTTGATGTTGGGACCTGAGGTATAGGATTGGGGAAGAAGCTGAGGGAGGTGGAGTGACTGCAAAAGAGGGAAGAGTTCATGTTGTCCCTTGAGAACCTGCTTAGCTAGTCACTTGGGTATCGATTCTAAAGAGCTGGGACTACGGTTACCATCCCTGCTTTCTGGTAGTTAATTTTGTCAGTCCATTTGCATAGGTCACAGTGTTCAGATATTTTGGAAACCATCATTCTGGATGTTTTTACAAAGATCAATTTTCATATTTGTTTTGGTGTGTGATGTGTGGTGTGTGTGTGTGTGTGTGTGTGTGTGTGTGTGTGTGTGACATGTGAGCACTCATGCACCCCTGAATGTGTGATTGCTGAAACTGGGCTGCATCTTCATCCAGGTCAAACTAGCTGGATTTTCCAGCCACCAAAATTTGTGAGTCATTTTATTAAAAGAAATCTCACCTTTCTTCTGTGTAAATGTTAAAGGGAAAAAATGATTTCCATATGGCACATAGAAACACACAAACAAGATAATTCCTTTTGCAAAAAAAAAAAAGGTGGGGGGAGGCATGCATCAAATTCCAAACAGGGCTGCATCACACAGAGGTGAACATGGATCATGTCTTTTAGCTTTGAAGTAGGTGGTGACTGCATCTCATCCCACTGGTGGGAATTCAATCTAAGGCAGCTCACTAATTGCACAAGGGAAGGAAGGGGTTCAAGAAATATGAGTTCTTGCCAGGCTAAGTACCTTTTATTAAGAAAATTGCATTAAACATGTTCAAAGTAGAAGTGAAAAGAACAACAGATGTGGCTGATATCAAAATTATAAGAAAGCTTTTATATCTACAGCACATGCACAGAAAAACTCACCCACATTTGCTTGCACAGTTCCTCAGATGAGGGCACAATTACTTGCTAAAGGTGCTCACCCCATCTTTGGACAGTGCTGCCTTTCTCCTAGATCTAACTAACACAAAGCTGCAATGTACACAACATTAATACTTTTTCAGGTTATTCCTTCAGATGAATTTTGGCATCTCATGGCTCTTGGTCTCATGTTCATCTTCTCCAGTTTAATACCCTCAGTCTTCAGGAGTTGCTTCTAATACAAACCTACATCTTTTTGTTGTCATTTTTTTCTTTTTATTCTTCTGTTATACAATACATTCTAAATCATGGAGCATTTATAGATGTGATCTGACTGTGTCAGGGTAAAATAGAGCTACCATTTGCTTTATTCAAAATATTATTATTTTAGTCATTGTGTTGACTCTGATATATGCCAATAGCTGTGTCTTTAAAGTAGAGGACACATTGTGCAACAACTGAAGCACTGGATGAGGAAATAATGCTAAATGCAAATTAGGTTACAACAGAGACAGATCACAGTACATTTGTCCAGCACTTTATTCTAGAAGCAACAATCCTCAGGACTATAGAAGCAGAAATGCACCCAGGAACTGGTGCTGATAAGCTAAGCCTAGTCCTGAGCAATGATCCCTTGTAATTAAAATCATCTAAAACCTGTCTTTTCTGCTTTCCAAGTACCCACGTGTGTTTGGAGAAAGAATATGAAGAGTGACAGAAAGAAAGCTCATGAAAGTCTTGAAGAATTTCAGCCTCACTGGTTGGGGTGATTAATTGTCAAGTGAGTAAAACATGTTTCATATGGATAACTTTGCATGGGATCATAGAGTTTTCTTTTGAAAATATTACTTTCTAAACTTTTCAAAACATAAGTGAAGATATTTATCATCAGACTCTGTGTAAATCTGTAGACTTGAGAGCTGGGCTAGGGATAAGTAGGAATCAGGAGGGACTGACCCAGAGTGACTAGGAGTAGTTTTGATGATGACTTAAAACAGAGGCCGAGTTCTGTGCCTGGCATGTCTCAGTAAAATCCTTCAGAGTGTTTCTTAGTTGTCAATTTATAAAGCTGGCTAACATTAACTGGATGCAATAATAAGAATGTATTACTTAGTCATATGTATGTAAATTGGCTATAATTTAAGAGACCAAAGTGAGACTGCTTCAGTATGACTTTAAATTTATGGTGTAACGTGGTTTCTTAGTCTTTTTTCCATTGGCTCTGGTTACATTTACTGCTTTCCACTTATACAACATCTACTAATAATTATTTTCACAAAGCATGTCACATGGATGAGCCCATAAGTATTTGGCAGGTAACAACACTTTTCTACAATGTTAACAAAAAATAATGAGTACTTGCCAAAAGGTAAAATAGCTTACTATCCTATGCAGCTTCTTTTATAAAGGTAATTCTGTATTGAAATTTTCACTGGGTAAACTTCTACCTTCCAGAGGATCCCTGGATCTCTGGACATCTTTGCCACTTAATTCAAATCTTGATGACATTCCAACTTCCTATAATAGTTCATGTGCTGGCTACAATCTCATCCGACAGTTACTACTATTGATTTTAAGTGTTCATTTAACAGTAGCTCAATAGATCATACCAATTATTTGATTAGTAATCTATTGCTGCCGAACAAATAGTTGTCAATACTGTAACTATGTTCAAAAATATGCAATGACTTCTCTCTCACATACAGGTAAGTGGTGTAATGTTTGGTTGACTTAGGATGAGATATAAAAGCCATAGTGGCATGCTCCTCAATAACAACCATGTAACTGGCTGACCATATAAATATATATTCTTCCCAGGATAGATACAAAGCACACACAGGCCGAAGTCACCATGCACATACATTTCACCACACTGCTTATTTCATATCTGACACCATGGTATTGGAAAGATTCGTTGTCTAGTCCTAATGTGACTCAAAAAGGTTTTCAAAGTTTGGGCGCTTCTACAAGTCTGTTCTTCTAACACACCATCATATTCAAGAACAAGTATCTCACAGTATCCATTCCAGTCTTCTCAAGGCATCTGTGCAGACTTATTGATCTGTTTAGCCTTCCACCAAATGAGAGTAAAGTGATTTGTTAAAAGTCCTCACTGCCTTTCCTACTTCCATTGACACTCTGTTGACAGTACTTAGAGATTGCTGTGGAAAGCAAACATCAATAGGCTCAGGTGATGATAAAAGTGAGAATATTTAACTAAACTGAAAGTGAGTAGAAAATTTTTATTATTCAAGACAGTTTCTCCATATGTACTCCTGGATGGCCTGGAACTCAGAGAGACCCACTTGCCTGTCTCTGAATGCTGGGGTTAAAGACATGTACCACCATACTTGGATTGAACTCCTTTTTTTATTTGTATTTTTTTTTATTCAATCCTGGCCCACCTGCCTCTAGTAGCATTGCCCACAGCAGGCCACACTCCCCATAACTAGCAATGGAGAAAATGCTGCAGAGACGTGCCCATGGTCCAACATGAAGCAGGAAATCACTCAATTGAGGTTTCTCTTCTAAGGTGTCAATTTCACAGTCAATATTAACCATCACACGCACTGAAAACCACAGCAAACACTTCTTATACCAGGATTAGAGAGGAGAAGATTGGGTCTTGAAGTTTGCCTCTTTTATTCTGTTCCTAAACACCTATCAGTGGTCAGTGAGGGCACTTATCCTTTTTCCCTCCCTGTTTCCTAACTGCACACAGTGGGACTTGAATTATCTTCTTTTTATCTGGAATCAACTCTGAACATCATTGTGTCCATCTGTTCTCCCGGACTGAGGAAACAGTCCACACTGTTCCCTTCTCAGTGTGATATACACTTTCATCCTCCACAAAGTATACATTTATTGAAGGGCTCCCACTTGCCCTCTTGACGACATTAGGTTGTTATGATACAATGCTTTAAAAAAGGTAACTTCAGAGAGCAAGGATTTATTTGGCTCCCATCTCCAACTTACTGTTCATCATTGCAGTGAATTCAAGGTGGCAAGAATTTGAAGCAGAGTGTGACATTATAGCCCAAGACAAGTGTGGGTTTCAATGATTTAGTGTGTGTATGTTAGTATTTAGCTTGCCCTCTCATTTTGTAGTCAAAGATCCCCTGCTCAAGAAATTGTTTTGCCCAAAATTAAGACATGTTTTCCCAACTCATTTAACTAAAGACAAGCCCTTACTGACAGTCTAAGAAGAATTCTAATTCTAAACAATCTTTCACAGATACCTTGGAATCCTGCTTCATCTGTGTCAAGTTGACAATTACTACTAACCATTAACAGATTCTACTTGGTTTGTGTAAGTGAACAGACTCTTTAGCTTCACTTGGACTACATCTACCAGGCTAGCAGTGGACTCCCAAGGGGTCATTCCAATAGGACAGCTGATTTACTCCAGCACTGAGCTGTTTTTATACACATCATATGGGCTTAACTGAGAACACTTAGATGAGGCTGGGACAGGATAGGCTGCAAAGTAATAATCTCTGGGGTCTTAAACTTAGGTGTGTTATAAAACATGGTTGTGTCCTGGATTCCAATTGATGAGTTACTGAGATAAGATGTCTTGAGACCAAGTGGATCTAATATAGGTTCCAGAGAAGAGAAAGGATTATTTTTTTCATGTGCATATCTGAGTCCCTCTAAAATGCATGATAAATTACCTCTCCCATGCAGCTGCCTGCAACACTGTGTCTCTATTTCAAAATAATCAGTATGATCCCTGTTTCATCATATCACTGACATGTTCTTTAGGCAGGATAAGCCACAGCACTGTGTTTCTCTGCAGATCAGATCCGGGGATCTCACCAGCACAGACACTGCCTGCTTCACTCTCACCATGCTCGACCTGGATGCTTGGCCCCACATTCCGCAGAGTATCCTACTGCTGACCCTACTGCTGGGACTCACAGGTGAGTGTCCTAGGAGTAGGATCATCTCCCTGCCACTGGCCACAGCTGCTAATGAAAGTCAAGGACTCCAGGTAACCACCAAATGGCCACAGGAGAGATGATCACAATATTGTTTCCTATAGGGAGAGTCCTAAGTGCTGCTCTGTGAGTCCAGACGTTGACAAAATTCCTTCCAGTAGAATCACACTTAAGTCACTGTAACTCTGAGGCACATTGGAGTCAATGAATCAATTCCAAAGCAGCTGATGGCCTGGCTCCAAGCTCAGCACTCTCTGCTCACTTCCTGAGACAGAGCCTGACATGCAGGCCAGTGACAGGGCCATGAGGGAAGTGTCTCAGGTGAGGCTCAGCCACCATTCCTTCTCACTTAGTTTCCGCATTCTGTCCCCCAGTTCTTCCTCATCTGACCTCAGTCTTCTCACTGAGTGCTGCTTCTTTCAGAGTCCATGCTATTATTTTGTATTACCAGTGGCTGTGTTCTGTTGCTAGGGTTGACATGGCAATGTCCCCCAGGCTGGAGGCCAAAGCCAAAGACATTCATTTCCTCAGTTCTGGGGGCTGGAATCGAGTGATCAAGACATCTACTGAGCTACTTTCTTCTGTGATGTCTCTCCTGTTGTAAATTGTACCTTCTTGATCTGTCTTCATACACATGATCTTACCTAATCCTGTCTGTGTGGATGTTCTCATTTTCTTTAAATGAACCCAGTCACACTGAATTGAGATCCATCTGAGTGATCTTAATTGACCTTTACCTCTTTAAAGACCTTGTTCCACTTTATGAGGTACTGAATTGTGGCTTTGATATGTAGAGTATAAACAATTCATCTACAGTGTTGTAGCCACATTGGGAGATGCCCGAGAAAGACCACCACAGAGTCAATATCTGATGCAAAACACAAAGGGATTTATTGATAATAAGCAAACCTGGGCTTGGTCTGCATCCAACATCCCATACAGTGGGTGGAGAAGAATAGCCCTGAGCTCTCAGGGTGAGAGGTTTTTAAAGGGAAAAATCACAAGCAGGGTGGTACAAACCTTGGAGTCATATGATTGGGTGAGGGTATGTAACCTTTGAATTTACTGGTTGGGGGTTACAATTGTCATTTTGGGGCAGATCTGGACAAGTCCCAGGTTCTGTCCTTGAGCTGTCATAGAGGCTGGTTAGCCTTGAACGTTCACATTGACCCATGCACATAGCTCTAAGTTGGTGAGGGTTCTCAGACAATAAACAACTGGCTGACCCTTGAGCAATCAGAGTACGTGCAGAAAGAGAGCTACTGCAAGGACTATGTCATAGTCCTCCCAGAAACTGCTTGCTCAAGTTTCAGGAAACTGAAATTGAGCCCTGATCTCTGAGAAAAGACTGAGCAGCCTCTTATGGAGTCTTCTTGGTCCTTTCAATTACATGTAGCCACACATTCCTGTTCTTCTTGATCTTCTCTAGGGAGCTTTGTTTTCATTATTCTCTTGGTAAGCAGGAATATTTACACTCTATGTCATCCCTTCTTATGATACCCCAAAGGCTGTTTATCCTCAGTTCCTTCTTTGTCCATGAGAAACATTTGATGGCCTCAGGTCAGAGTTTATCAGCCCTCAGTCTTCATACTTTAATTAGATGTTATGTCATCTAATGTCATAGAAGTTGAAGTTTTTAAATGTCCTCATCACATTCTCATTGCACCTGATACTATCACTAAGTTATGAGTTCTGATGATTTTACCACTTCCTGAAACATTTTGTTTGTTATTTTCTTAAATTAATACATAATTAAATCAATTGCATCTCTTTTCTATGCTCTCTTTCTCTTAATTCATGGACTCTGTTTCTTTAAATGTCCCCCCACACACACACACACATAAATATACACACACACACATTCCTAATATATAAATAACAAATTGCTAAGCTCACATAATGTTATCCAAACAAGGACAACATTGATAAAAATGATAAACATGATAATATTAAAGGGTAATATATCCGTGTCAGAGATTTGTGTGTCTTTGCTTTGTCTTTTTCTTAGTATTTTATCCATGTTTTGCTATACTGCTGTCTTCCTACAGGCTCCAATGCAACAGAGCAGTCAGAAAATTGAAATTTCTAAACTGTGGTGTGTAGTGCAACTTCTGTTTTTATTGGTTGATATGTCTCAGAAATTTACTGCAGTGTTTGGAAGATGTCAAGCACAAATTCGTGTGTTAAAATTGTCATCCCCAGATAAAGGCACTACTGTGAGAGATGACTGAATATGTAGATGGTAACGTGGAGATGAGCAACACTAACCCATTACACATTAGAAATATTTCTTTCTTTTGAACTGCTGATCCCAAGTATTTTTCAAATCAATAGGAAGATAATTTAGCAAGCTATAAGTATATCTAGTTGCCCATTCAGAGCCAGAGCCAGATACAGCTCCATGACACCATGTATATCACCCATTGTCAAGGAAGGCTCCATGGCTCAGCAAATCTACTGAAAAATTATACTTCAAAGTCAAGAACACTCACCATGTCTCAGATACTGGGCAAAGCACTCCACAGTTCTGTCTCATGTGGATGATCTGCTCTTAATACTTTGCCATACACACAGAAAAAGAGACAGAAGCACAAACAGCCCTAATGGTGATGTCAAGAGCTGTTGCTTGGATGCTGCCTGACTGAAGTCACGGGATTCTATTTCTAATAAACTACCAGTTTAACATGTGTTTCAGTGAAGTGGGAAGATGTCACACTGAGCGAATCATAAGCAGGGAAGAGTTTGTTGGATACTGACTATGAGCTACATGCTGTTGTAGGAACACGTGCTGTACTAAGGAATACAAGTAGCAGAATGGTCACCCATGTGGAGCTTAGACTCTACAGGGGAAAATGGCAACAATTAAGAAAAAAACATGAAACTGATATTTTAAAAGGTGATATATGAACATATGTCCAATTATCCAAAGAAATAAGAAGGCTATTTGGGGAGTTAGAGATTGAAAGCAGGGGGTGTGGTTGGACATCACTGAAAAGAGGAAATTTGAGTAAAGACAAAAAGAAAATTTGAGCATGTGCCACCTGACCCAGGATTCTAGAAGATGGACTTTGCCCAAAGCAGCATATGGCAAAGACCCTAAGTAGAGCCTACCATTTTCATGGACCAAGCTTTCACTCCAGGTGAGTGGAAGGCAGTACAAGCTTGAAACGGAGAAGCACCATGGCCTGGCAAGTGATTTAAACTGAGTTTCCATGTAATGGTTGAACACCGACTCTCCAGGACAGATAGAAGAAGGTTGTTGCATGTCAGCAAATGAGAGAGGGTGGCTTGCACTGGAGAGTGACAGGAGAGAAAACAGGAAAGGTCATATTGGGATACAGGCTAAAGTGGAGCCTATACGATTTCCTGAAGGATCAGACTTGATGTGGGGGTGCAGACCCTTCTCGGCATAGGGCACCAGCACCTGCAAGAGGAAATGAGCTTCATGTGAAATCTATAGGCTGTGTCAGGAGTTTGCTCTTGAACATGTTCACTCTGAGAGGTTTACTTCACTCAGGGAGCCCCTCAAGTGCATCACTGGACAAACAACTTCAGAATCACAGAGTGTGGGCATGTGTTCCAGTTCTTCCTTCCAAGATTATTGATATCACTTGATTAACAAGTCAGCTTCCCTTCTCCCATCTTTCACAGACTTTAAAAGTCAAACCAGCTAAGTATCATTGCATAACAGCACCTGCCCTGTAGTGATATGTAGACCTTTGAGAAGGGTGATTTGAAATATGATTTATGTATACGTCCATTGTATGTTCTTGAATTATTGACACCTTATAATCTTTGCTTAGAATTCTTTGCCAGGAATTTAATCAATATAATGCCTTCTGGATCTGTTGACAAAATTGCGTATTTATTTAGAAGGCATCATGTAGCCTTGTCTTCTTCAGGTTTCCTGTGTTCTCCATTGAGATACATGCACCTGGTGATCATTTTTTCTGCTACACCAATGAAAAGGGCCTTACAGTAAGGACTCTTCCTTCTGAAGATATGTCTTGGATCATCTGTTGTGCAATGCCAGCTTTGTGTCCAATCTGGCACTGCAGTGTGGTACACCTGGACTTTTCAGCTGCAATTAATAATATGGCCTGTAACAACTCAGAGACCTGCTCCTACTCCCTACCCAGGGTCCCAGAAGAAAAATGCTTCTCAGGAGTAAGGGAAAGAAAAGTTTATTTATATTAATTTCACACACCTTCTGTTGGTCCTTTTCTTTTATTCTTCTTTAATGCTAATTCTCCTCTCCTAATTGTCTCTAATATCTTAGTCCTAATTCTCTGTTCTTATTTTTTTGCTTCTCCTCGTCTAACCTCAAAATTCTTCCCTTATAGGAGGCTTGAAGCAATAATAAAAATTACAAGTGTTTCCTCTCATTGGTCAAAAACATTCTTAGGGTAAGCGATAAGGAGCCAACCCATTTACTATGGCAACCCAAGGTTTTAAGGTTTCAGGACCAGAGAGAGGGTGCAGTGCCCAGTACGTCAAACTCTGAGACATAACTCTTTTATCAGCAGACTTGGCAAGCGAAGAATTGGTATCGTAACTTAGCTTACTTTGTGTTAATAACCTTGGTTAGAATTGGCATAGTGTTTTAGGCTGCTTAGCATTAATAACCTTGGTTAGACATCTGTGACTCTGACCTTGTGTATCTCTGTAAAGTTTTTAACTTAGGATCCAATTACAGAAATATTCAGTCTACTGTGAAACTGCTCTGAGGTTTCAAATCAGCAAAATGTGTGTCGCTTGTCTTGGACTGGGGAGAAATTGTTATTTTCTAATATTAGTCCCAACTAAAGGAACAAGGCAGGCTTTGAAGTGTAACAACCTTCTCCACAGCTTGTTACAGAGTTCAGTCAAAGAAAACCACAGCCCACAAATAATTCCCATGGATGAGAACAACTGTGACGATACAGCAGAGGGGGTGGGAAGGCCAGTGTGCAGGAATTCCAACAGTGGAAGGGATGGAACAG